AAAAGAAAACTAGAAAAAGTTGAAGATATCAAAGCTACAAGTATCAAGACTTACAGTCTAATCTTTAATTTCTGCTGAAAAATATATTACATGTTATTGTCTCCATTTTTTTTCTTATTGCTCTTGTACAGAGTCACTGCATTACCACTTTAAACTTCTGATTTCTTCCTATTAATAAGTATATAACAGCTATTCAGGACATGGAATAATTTTCCTAGTACAAGATCTGAAGATTTCAATACTTGTCCATATTTTTGATGTATTTTATTCAGAACTATTGAAGCCATTTTTACTGTGATAGGGTACATTTTATGTTTTTAAGCTTAATTGAAGTATAATTGATATAAAAATACATATGTCAAAGGTAAACATTTCAATGAGTTTGAACAGATACATACATCTGTGATACAATTATAGCAATTAATTAATTGTTATTTAAATGTTATTTAATGTTTAATTGTTAGCATTTATCACCTCCCAAACTTTCCTTGTGTACCTCTTTGTGTGTGGTAAGAATATGAGCTATACCCTATTAACAAGTGTTTATGTGCAGTATAGTTTACTATAGACAACTCTTATGTTGTACAGCATCTCTCTAGAACCGTTTCATTTTGCATAACTCTAACTTTATAATCATTGAGCAAGAATTCTCTATTTCCCTCTCAAAGTACACCCTGTCAACCATTCGGCTCCCCATTTGTCTGAGTTTGACAATCCTAGGTAACTCATATAAGTGGAATCTTGGGGAGTCTTTATAATTCTGTGTCTGCTTATTTCACTTAACATAGTGAAAATAGTGTCATCCAGGTTCATCTATGTTGTATACATATTAGGATTTCCTTCTTCATTAAGGACAAATGATATTTTATTATATGATGATAGTATTTTTTTCTTTGTTTATCTGTCCATACATATTGGGTTTGATTTCGTATCTTGACTGTTGTGAATAATGTTGAAATGTCCAAGGGATGGCAGATAAGATCTTCAAGGTCCTTTTCAGGTTTTCCACATAAATAGCCATAAGTTGCATTGATGTATTGTATAGTAGTCGTTATGGTTCAGATATGAGGCGTCCCCTGAAAACCCTTTGTGAAAGGAAATAAGTTAAGGAATGTTCAGAGCTGAAATGATTAGATTATGAGTTCTATGACTTCATTAATAAATTAATTAATTTGATGGACTAATAATTTGAAGGCAGGTAGGGTCTGGCTGAAAAAAGTAGGTCCATGGGAACATGGCCTGTCCATGGCCTCCTCCCACTCCCCTTTCCTGGCTACCATGGTATGAGCCGTTTTCTCCACCACACTCTTCTGCTATGATGTTCTGCCTCACTCAAGCCCAGAGTGATGGAGTTGGCCTAGGATGGACTGACACATCTGAAACCATGACCCCCAAATAAACCTTTTTGTCTTCTAAGTTATCCTTGTCAGATATTTTGGTTACAGCAACAGAAAATTAACACAGTAGTTCTATTTTTAATATTTTGAGGTACCTAAATATTGTTTTTCATAGTGATTGCCCCATTCTTTATTCTTTATTATGAGAATTCCAGTTTCTTTACATCCTCACAAAATTTGTTACTTTTGTATTTTTAAATTTTGATAGTAACCATTCTAACTGATTTGAGTTATGTTTTACTGTACCTTTGAGACTGCATTTCTATGATAATACAAATTTTCTTATTGATGATCATTTGTATTATTTTTTTACACAGAACTCTACCTTTCCTTCATTACCCATTGTCTAATCTAATGAACTTATATTCTTCTCCTCCCTACCCTGACTTGTTGTAGGTTAGCATGCACATATCAGAGAGAACATTTGGCCTTTTTTTTGGGGGGGGTATTGTCTTACTTCCAGATGCATCCATTTACCAGTAAATGTCATAAAGTCATTCTTTTTAAAACTGAGTAATATTCGACTGTGTACATGTGTATATATACCACACTGTCTTCACCCATGCCTCTGTTGAAGGGCATATAGGCTGGTTACATAGCTTAGATACTGTGAATTGAGCTGCTGTAAACATCTATGTTGCTGCATCATGGTGCTAGGCTGATTTTAAATCCTTCAGATATATAACAAAGAGTGGGATGAGTGGATCAAATGGTGGTTCCATTCCAGTGTTTTGCAGAATCTTCATATTGCTTTCCAGAGTGGTTGAACCAATTTGTAATCCCACCAGCAATGTATAATATGTACCTTTTCCCCACCTCTTTAACAACATTTATTGTTCCTTTATTCTTTACACTTGTCATTCTGACTGGGGTAAGATGGGATCTCAGTGTGGTTTTAATTTGTGTTTATCTAATTGGTATAGATGTTGAACATTTTTAAATATATTTGTTGACCATTCATGTTTGTTCTGTGAACTGCCTGTTCAGTTCCTTTGCCCATTTATTGATAGGGTTGTTTGTTTTTTTTTTTGGTGTTAAGTTGTTGTAGGGACGGAGGAGGCAATGCACCAAAGATAGCAGGAAACAGTTTTATTTGGCTTCAGCCAGGTTCAGAGGGAACAGCTTTCGCACTAATCAATCAATGCCCTGAACCCCAACCCAAGTTCAAGTAGTTTCAGAATTTTTTACCCAGCATGTAAGGGGAGGGGCTCAAAAGTTCACAGTCTTCAGAAGTTCACATGAAAGCAGTTTTTTCTTTCGTTGTTCTGGGAAATGTAACCCTTCAAGGACAACACCTGAGAAGGGGAGAGCAGCTTCTCCCCTTTCTTTCCTCCTCCCTACCAGCTGTCACCATGGAGCCCAGTTGGTAACTTCTGTTAGGAATGTAGACATCTCTGTGAAGCCCAGCTCAAGGCCAGAGGCCTTATTTACATATTTCTAGAAACTACTATACTGGATAAATGTTTGTAAAAAACTTGGAAGGGGGTGTCTAGCACCTGGAGTGCTGATTTCTGCCATGCTAGTGGCCAAATAAAATAGGGCAACATGAAGATAGGAAGTTTATCTACATTGAGCTCTTTTGTAGAGACTCTTTTGTTGACAGTCCTAAAATTAGCCATGGTGAAGATTTCGGAGAAGCCCAGTTAAGATTTTCTTTGGAGAAAGGGGGTACCACTGTAAAGTTTTTGTGTTCTTTATAGGTACTGGAGATTAACCCTCTATCTGAGGTACAGGTGGCAAAGGTTTTCTCCCAATCTATAGGTTCTGTCTTCATGTTCTTGATTGTTTCTTTTACTATAAAGAAGCTTTTTAGTTTGATCCTGTCCTGCTTTTACTTCATGAACTTTAGGAGTCTTGTTGAGGAAGTCAGTTCCTAAGATAACATAATAGTTTTGGGCCTATATTTTCTTCTAGTAGGTGCTAGAAGAAATGTTCTTGATTCATGATCCATGTTGAGTTGAGTTTTGTGCAGATAGGGGTTCAGTTTTATTCTGCTACATATGGGTTTTCAGTTTTCTCTGCACAATTTGTTGAAGGGGCTATTTTTTCTCCAATGTATGTTTATAGTTTCCTCATCTAGTATGAGATAACTGTATATATATGTGGGTTTGTCTCTGTACCTTCCATTCTGTTCCATTGGTCTTCATATGTGTTTTGGTGCTAATACCATGCCTTTTTTGTTTATACCTCTGTAATATAATTTAAGGTCTGAAATGGACATGCCTCCTGATTCACTTTTCTTGCTGAGGATTGTATTAGCTATTCTGGCCTCTTATTTTTCCAAATGAATTCCATGACTGCTTCTTTTATTTCTATGAAGAATGTCATTGGACTTTTGATGATATTCACCTTAAATCTCTATTGTACTTTTGGTAGTATGGTCATTTAGACAATACTAATTCTGCCTATCCAAGAACATGGGAATTCTTTCCATCTTCTTTGATCTTCTTCAATTTCTTTCTTTAGCACACTGTAGTTTTCATTGTAGAGGTCTTTCCCCTCTTTTAACTCCCAAGTTGTTTTTTTTTTTTGAGGCTATTGTGAATGGGATCATTTTCTTAATTGCTCTTTCAGTTGATTCATCAATGGTATATAGAAACATAATTAATTTATGGGTGTTAATTTTATATCTTGCTACTTTGAGGAATTCATTTGAGTTCAAGGAGGTTTCTGGTAGACCATGGGTCTTCTGTATGTAGAATCATGTTGTGAGTGAACAAAGGTAGTTTGAGCTATTCTTTTCACATTTGAATCCTTTAATTTCTTTCTTTAGTGTGATTGCTCTGGATAGAGTTTTAAGGACTGTTAAATAGAAGTGGTGAAAGAAGGAATCCCTGTCTTGTTCCAGTTTTTAGAGGAAATGCTTTCAGGTTTTCTCCATTTAAAATGTTGTAGACCTTGGGTTTAGCATATATAACTTTTAAAATATTGAGTCATGTTCCCACTACCCCAGTTTTTCTACTGTTTTGAAAATGAATGAATGCTGTATTTTATCAAATGCATTCTCTGCATCCATTAAGATAATCATTTGTTTCTTGTCTTTAAGACTATTGGTTTG